TATGGTCATAAAATAAAACTTAATTTTTGTTTTAAACACATAAAATAGCAAAATAAAATTTTTACTTACGCGGTGCAGTCAACAAGCCCTCCCCAAGCCACGGTTTAGCAAAATTATATAAGAAGCCTTTCTCTAAACACGAGTTCGCAACAGTCATAAAATCGTCAGGATCTGTTAATACTGTAACAGCGATAAAAAAAATAGCTCATTAAAAATTGTACTGGTCTTCACATTAACACATGAGGCTATTGTTACGTGTATCATGGTGAAGAAAAATATTGCTAGGAAACCAGCATGTTTGAGAAATTAAAAAAATCAAGTGCAGTAAAATAATTTTACTTGGTGGAATTACAGTAGTCTGAAAGTGGGTGGAAAACCGGTACTTCATGTACCGGTTTTCCACCTACCTTCCTCCTGTTCAGTTCCAGTTTATGGGGGTAGAGCCACGCTGCAGCTATATTATGGTTGTAGCACAAATAGGTCTGTTTGACCGGAGAAGGTCCACGCTTTCACAGAATACCAGCGTAAAATAGCAGCTTAATGCTGCTGTGCTATGGTGAGTTTAGATAACCGGAGACCCGTTTTACTGGAATCAAGGCATTCCATGGTAGTCCTCAGGGGGGACAACGCTTCTACATTTTGATCCTTGATGGTGGTTAAATGTAAGATGTCTATGGACCATAGCATCGACTTACCATCAGGTGAACTGTATGCTCGTTTGTCACCCTTATTCTATGTGAAAAAAAAGTTCCGCCCTCAATGATGGCGCTACACTGAAAGTGTGGCCTCTCGACAGTGTGCGGTGGTTTAGTTCTTTAAGAAATACGACTATGTTCTATTGTAGAAGTACACACCGATATTCCTTCTCAGCCGTTCATATTGTTGTTTTCGATTCTCGAACTATAAATCGTCTCGCATGCAGCCTCTTTCTCTTTTTAGTAAACTTTTTTTACGCAGTCATTTTTATATTTTTTTTAAATAATAAAATACTAAATTAAATACACAAGCCAGTAGGCTTGTGTATTTTATTTACTTTGTACTGTGTTTTCTGTTTTATAACGTAAATTTTAATTGGGAAATATTATTTATTAAATTAACTACAGAGTGAAGTAGTGTTGTTAATTTGAATCTATGCCACGTTTAGCTGTGTAAATAAACATGATATTCAATTCTTTTTTTCATATTTTGATCGACGATCTGAGATAATCTACCTTATGCGATAACTTTCAGCAAATTTTTTTGGTTAAGGAGATAATTTTTACTAATAGAAGTATATCCAAAATAACATACTTAAGCAATATAAAGACTGTTTAGAGCACAAATATTAATTAAATAACCACAAATTCACTGGGAAATTATATTTGAAGTCAACAAATAAAATTGAATTTAACAGAAAATAAATCATTATTTTTTAATGTTTTTGAATAAATCAATACTTGATAAATTAGTAAAATATGTAAAAAAGGCCTTATGAATACTGGAATTGAATTTTTCTCTCTAGAAGTATGCTTACCATAAAATTTAAAAGGACCCATTAGTAATGTTGAAATGCCTCCAGCTTTACAGCATTTATATGATATGATTTTAACACCTTTCCATAGTCCTAAAAAGGAAATATATTATTAGACTGCAGGCTTACTCTTAAAATGTATTCACTTAGTTTCGGTTCTGTTTATAAAAGCTTTCTTCCGAATCAAAAATTAGTGTCGACAAACAAAAAAACAAGCGTTATTAGTATCGTTAGGCACATCCAGATAATTTTTAAATTATAAATCTAGTTTCTAAATATTTTTATCACATAAATACATTTAATACAAATAAAACGTTACGTGGCTCAATATTTTAAGCAATAACGCAATGAACGTAAGTCGCGCGCGTAACGTGTGAGTTTCTTCGATATTTTATGGACTGTATTGATAGGTACATACAACAATCGGAGCAGAGGAAAAAGGAATGGTGAGAGCAGCCTCGCCTTCCTCGTTTAGTATCTGCTAACACAGCAGGTCCACTACATGGTTTGGCGTACTTACGTACTAATGGCGTGATCAATTTTAAGATATCACATTCTTCTCAACTCTTGACTTGTTGCAACCGTGGTAAGGTGCGATACATTTGCAAAAGTACAATGACACAATGTCCGGTGATAATTTTATATAAAAGAGGAAGCCAAAGAAAATTACGCCCCTAGCCCTTTACACTCGGACTGATACGAGCGTGAGTTTAAATTCAAAAAAATACTGGCACCAAACGGTTTACTTTTTCCGAACGCAACCGGCGTCGATCGTTCGCGAGGTGTATTTTACGCGCGGAAAATAGATACGGGTGGGATGGGAGCAGTCAGTCACCTGTGAGCTGAGATGAAAGATGGCTGCGTTTTTCGATCCTCGCCGCGCCGCGGGTAAGTAATTATTTTTAATAGTAATTTGAAAATATTTGATTGTTGTTTATAATTATTTTAAAGTTAAAAGATAACCCAATACCTAGATTATTTTGATTTTGTGCTGACCTTTACGGTTTCGTTAGAATTACGTTATAAAGTACGACCGCTACGATTGTGCGGCTCCGGTTGTACTACCGAAACATTATTCGGGAGTGGGTACTGTACTTGATGATTGTTTTTACATAGATTTTGTAATTAATAGTTACTTTTTTTAAGGTTTTAGGCAGAAGTTTGAACGAAGATCAAGTTATACAATTGCTGGGCGATGGAAACTTCTCCGACATCGAAGATTTTGAGGACGTCGACGACGAAATCCAACCCAGCACTTTCGAAAATCTTCAGTTGGATGATCCAGAGCCTGAACCACAGCCGTTTGTAGAACCGAGCCGGAACCGATGCAAGATACTCCTGGACCATCACAACTAACTCCGCGCCCTCGATCTTTACGGCCACCTTCTCGAAAGAGAGTTTGGAAGCAGGTACCTTTCGACGATTGTAGTCATGACTATGCTCCCTTGCCCGTTACTCCGGTCAGGACTCCAATGGAGTATTTCTCCGACTATTTCAACAGAGAGTTTTTTGATGAAATTGCCAGATGCACAAACATGTACCATCACAGAAAAACGGGCCTGGAACTGAAACTTACAACAGTTGAAGTAGCCAGAGTTTTTTTCAATACACATCATCATTGGATGTATTCCCTACCCCCCGTGTCCCGATGTATTGGAGAGGTGGAATAAAACTGGATATAATAACTCAAAAAATGGCTCGTGACAGGTTCTTGACTGTCCGCAATGCATTGCACATCGTAGATGCTGATGAAGCTCCGCCAAGTAATAGTAACAATCCACTGTGGAAAGTACAGACCATGATTGACCGGTTAAAATTAGCCTGTAACAAACTTGAAAGAGTTCCTGGCTTCTACTCCATTGACGAGCAAATGGTATCATTTACTGGCAGATGTGTATTTCGCCAGGTAGTCCGAAATAAGCCGCGCCCGGTGGGTTTGAAGAACTTTGTGCTGACCACAAGTGAAGGCTTGATGCTAGACTTCGACATATATCGAGGAGCTAAAACCATGTTTGCAGATACATCTCTTGGACTTGGAGCTTCTGTCGTTCTGCATCTGGTGAAAAGTGTACCGCCTGGAAGCTGTGTCTACCACGACAGATATTTTACGACTGTTCCGCTAATTGAAGAGATGACAAAGAGGAATCTTCACAGTACGGGAAAAATCATGTTCAACAGGATCCCTGACCGTACTGCGATTAAATTTAAACCAGATGTTAGAATGGCTCGCGGAGAATCACAGCAGTACGTTTGCGGACCGACTGTCGGCGTCAAATGGAAAGACAATAAGTCCGTTCTAATGGCGTCAAACTGCACCGGCTCGTCCTCATCTTCAATCGTCAAGAGATGGGAAAAACACTTGAAGATGTACGTAGACGTACCTGTCCCAAAAGTAGTCGAGCATTACAACCAACACATGGGGGGTGTTGATGTTCTGGACCAGCAGATGGAGTATTATCGGACATTCATCAAAACAAAGAAATGGACACTGAAAGTACTGATACACTTTCTTGACTTGGCAATTGTCAATTCTTGGCGACTGTATCGTAATGATTGTATGGCAAATAAATTAAGCAGGAGGGAAATTTTGCCCTTGTTAGACTTCCGCATGAACATTGCTGATGGATTGTCAAGTTTGCCGGCAAGAAACCGGCCATCGACGAGCAATATTGAAAATGAACCGCCGCTGGATGAAAATGAATCTCCTCTTCCGAAAAGACAGTACAGACCAGCAAACAAGCCGTCTGAATCAAAGCGGTATGATGGATACGAACATTTTCCAGTGTTCGACGAAACAAAAGCACCTAGAATGTGCAGGTACGAAAATTATACCAGTCGCACAAAGGTACGCTGCACAAAATGCGACACGTATTTGTGTATCGCACGTGGCAAAGACTGTTTCAAGTCTTACCATACCAGAGGATGATCTGATAGTTCCTGATTTACTTTAGAAGCATTAATTAAAATTATTTTTTATTGTAGCGTACAACTTTAAAAGTTTGTTTTGTTTTGTATATATTTTACAGAAAATTTTGTATCATGTTGCCAAAGGCACGAATTAATGTTTAGTTCTAAAAAAAAATTGTATGAGACTGAATGATTAAAATAACTAAATAATTAATAAAGAGGCTGATTAAGTATAAGCTTTTTTAATTATTCTTTAAAGTACCAAAACATAGGGCTAGTTTAAATTACCCTCACGATCGTGACTATGTCGTGTACGACCTGCGACTCACGATCGTGCGGGTGGATTTGTGGGTAAGCTATGACCTCGAGATTTTTTTAACTGATTTTTTTGAGCTCTATATACCTAGTAGGAAGGCAACATAAAAGTTTTATGGTTAGAATCTGAAAAAAAATCTCCGGTTGTAAAGGGCTAGTGCGGTCGCGGTTACTATTCGATCTCAACTGATGACTGTGTCGCCTTCAATGTCCGGACGTGCATGTAGGATGATAAGGGAAGTAGGGGTTAAAATTATTCCAAGTATGTTATTAGATTTATAATTAAATTGTTAACTGTTGTTACCAAATGCAAATAAAATGTAGAAGTACAATATTTTAAGCACACTCACGCATCAAAACTCTATTACTGATTAGCCAATAGCTTATTATGTTTTTATTCGACTTGGGACGCACTATCAAAGATGGCATTATTTACTGTTAACTTTTGGTTTCAATTGTCATTCATAATAAAATAAATACCCTTGCAACAATTCCTTAATTGCATAAGTATGAAAATCTTATCAAAAAAAAAACTTTCTAGTAGATTTCCATTAAAACTGCCACCAAGCGGAGGCTAACTGACTTTAATTAAAATTCCAATCAGAAGCACCAGTCGATTTTGTACGTAACGTATGTTTTTTTTAAAATTAGTAACATCCGTCTGTTAATAACTGTATTTAGCCATATTAGTTAATCATAAAAAATGAGCGCAAAGAATTATAAATAATAATTTTTTATACAGTCGTCGATAATTGATGTCCGGTGATATTTTAATACCGATGAATTAACTTGCATTATATCTCTATTAATATCGAGTACCCGGTTGACCGAGCTTTGTTCGGTATTTTTCACTCGGTTTTTTTTAATTCGTGTGTTTTGGAGATTATATTTAGATATAAATTACATACTGATGAAATACGAATAATATTTTTTGATCGTAGCGACATAATAGAAAAAACTGAACCGGTTATTTGAATAAAAAAATCATGAGTGCGATTAGTTAAATTTAAATTTTCGTGTTTTTAAAAAAATACTAAAAAAAGGGCTCGAAAAAAATAGATTTTCTCAAAAAAGAAAGAACTTGAAAAAAAAATTAAAAAAAAGTAGGTCGGTCGGTCTGGGCTCGAACCATGGTATTACGATTTTGTGACCGCCCAATATACCAATTAAGCTATTTGTAATTATTAATAAACTGTCAAAATTTACCTTCTTATTCTAACGATATTGTAGCAGTTTTTCATTGCCTAAAATCACGGACAAAAAGACATTTTCTAAAAATAAATCTTATCTAGATCGATTTATTGCCACCGAAACTCCCTGCACACAAAATTTTATGAAAACGTAATATATATATATATATATATATATATATATATATATATATATATATATATATATATATATATATACAAGAATTTCTCGTTTAAAGGTATAGGATTGTGGGTCGATATTATCCATACTACTGTGATGCTGATGATAATTCATTATCATCATCATCACGGTAGTTTAGATAATATCACTCACTTTACATAAAAGTAGCAACTGTGTATCAATTGAATTTATTAACTACTAGCATTTAATTGCGTAAAACTACTTTCTATTAAGTAATGTCATAACAGAGATTATTTGACCTAGGTACGAATAAAGAAATGAGCTTTTAGAATTTTGAGTGTGAATTATACGTCTAGCAACATTTTTCCTAGTGTATAGAGTGGACGTTCCTATATGTTGATATTCAGATTTTACTAATTTTATTTGAAAACAAGCCTTACATATATAAGTAAAAGTGATCAACCAACTGAATACACTTAAACTAAACTTATTTGCAGCTGTACTTTGACTGTTAGCCGTAACATGTAAATATAAACAATAGATACGCACTTATAGAGTATCAAGTTGTTAGTATTATCGAGAATATTAGTATCCCTTCATTCTACGAACTTGTTTACTTCCACTTGTAGATTAGCTCGAACTTTCTTAATTTATGGATTTATTTGTGTCTTAATAATATAACAAGAATTTAAGAAATACAAAAAACTACTTACGTAAACCACCCCCAATTAGTAGATGTGCATGTCCTAATATAGGAAGACCACCAGCTAGAAGCGGCGGTTCATGTCTGGATTTCGAATATACTTTCAATAAATAAAGTCCACATATAATCAAAATACAAACTATAGATATCATGTTAGCAGATCTAAAACCAAAGATAGTTAAATTAAAAGACACTGTATAAATAAAACTAAATACATATAGACTTAAATATAAGTACACTATAAATAAATGTCGTTTAGTTTGTGTGATTCCAATTGCCAAGCAGTAGTGACCCACCGCTATGGTTCATAAATCAACTGTATGCTTTTTACTTTCGACAGATTACGACGGAAGTTCCATGAGGTGTTAGTCTCACATAGTAAATAAAGAGTTATCCTATTTAATTATTTATAAAATAGGATAACTATGATGAGCATAAGAGTCATGTCTGAGTGTATACTGTGTAGTTTAATAATATTCGGCCTTGAACGAATGTGGTTAATTCGTTCAAGTATTCGGCTTATCAATTTATTCTCAGAGATATTCTCTCTATACACTTTAAATTCCAACAGTTTTTTAAAATGCCTTAAGTATAATATTATGGTGTAGTAAAAGCCTAACACTATCTCAAAAAATATAAAAAATGAGTTGCAATTAGAAACATTAGAAGAAATAAGAGAAAAGAAAATAATACTTTTCGACATTTTGGCAAAATTGAATTTTTAAACAATACTACAATATTGAAGAAATGTTCTATTTACTAATCTTCGGTATTTTTGTAACTAATTTCGTTTTCAAGATAATAGTATGTTTGTTTACAAATTGACGTAAAAACCTTATTTTAATTATAATACTAATTTTAAATTACGTAACATCTTTATATATGTTCATTAGTCTTATATATTGTGTTTACTTATTTTAAATGGAAAAATATATTGGTAAATACAACAGTAAAATAGTGAGAAAAAGCTAAAGTAATGATTTATATATATATATATAAAAGCGCAGTGCAAACCTTTTGGAAGAGAATAGATTAGCAATTGATAATACATATTTATCTTAAAAATAAATGTGCAAAAGAAGAGAATAGGAAAATAGAA